GTAGCAACTCCAGCAGGGGTTCCTGCAGCTGTTTACCTCCACCAGGGACCAGGGCTAACTGACTTCACACCATCTGGGGCCAGAGCCAAGCCAAGTTTCCAAGAAAACGTCATCAACAGAAGTGGAATTCTGATCCCCACCTGTCTGACTTCTGTCTCCATTCATTCAGATCTCAGGCAGAGCGACAAGGGGGCAGTTAACTGGGCCCTCCATATCCCCCACGGGCCACGAGGCATGGCAGGCCGGCAGAAGGTTGACCCCGAGTGTTAAATGCCTGGGGCTGCGTGGGCAGCGCTGTCCACACACAGTGCAGGCTGCTCCATCCCCAGGGACATGGACTGCGGCTGTCCTCGGGGGGACTCCCTGGGGGTGACGCCTCAAGCGTCGGTCAGCTTGACGGCCAGTGAAGGAGGGGGAGACAGAAGGAGAAAGAGGAGGGATGATGGGCACAGAGGCAAGGGGGGTTCTGTGTGTCTGGGGGGCTCTGTAGGTTGAGGTTTACCTGCTGAAGAGGGTCTTACCCCACCCCCATTCTCCCTGGAAGCCGCCCCTGCGTTGACACGGCCACTTCACTCTCGGAGGAAGAGCCTAGATTGGGGGGCACAGAAGCAAAGAACTATCGCGAAAACCAGATTCACGGAAGTGAAGTGTTCATTCTCACACGTGTCCTCCCGTGCTTGCTTATCACGCTTACCTAGGCCCGCCCGATCCTCATGTCGTAGCCAGGGAACTCACACAGCAGCTTGGGAAGCTGGTCATGGGTCAATGAAGGTGCTCAACCAGCACCTGGACAGCTGTGTGTCGCGGGGCCACCTCCCCAGAACCCACAGAAAAGTTCTGCGTTTGTGCAAACTGATTAATGAAACTGTTTCCCGTAAGTCACATCACGCTGCCGAAGCCGGCTCATGACAGAGGCATTATTTAGCCTTAGTAACTCAGCCCCTGGTCCCACAAGGGTCCTGTTACAAGCCCGGAGAGCTGCGGACTAACTGGCAAGGATCACTCCTACAAACCGCACAGCTACGGGTTTGCACACAAACTGCTGGACCTTTCAGCGAGTTTTAAGAGAAACAACGATTTTGGTATCAGTTTCCCAGACGGCCTTTCCTTCCACTCCAAAGAGATGACAGCCCACATAGGACGGCAAC